TACATTACTGTTCAAAAGTTTCTAACAGAGAAATACACTATTCCTTAATATAATATTTAATATCTTATCTAATATTTCCTATAGAATATAATTCATTCACAATACATACTCTATTTTCTGATATAAAAAATTGATTACATTTTAATAATTATCCAAAAATAAAATATCAATTCTTCCATTCATCACAGAATCTGTGTATCTGTTAAATAAGCCAGGGCAGAAGTTACATCGGAGATGAATGGAAGAAACTTTTGTGCGAAAGTGTACGAGGGGAAAAAGAATTCGAGAATCGAAGCATTCAGCCACAGTGGGAAATGCGGTGGCGATAATGGTATCCCTCTCTCCATATCCGCGTACCGCGATCACTTCCGGCGGTAGGCAGCTTTTTTTCCAAGCCGACCACGCGATAACGGCAATCGGAATTAATTTCTTCGCGAGTGGCCAAACCTTTTAACGGTTCTCCCACAGAACTGTGAACCTATTAACGAGCCACTTTTTCACTGATCCTCAAGATAATGATAAAGTGCTCGACATTCACCTAATATTCTTTTATCATTTTGATGCACACAAGAGGCTGACAACGTTCCACCGAAGGAACGACACCCGATTTCTGCATCAGACAGTTTGGTACCTGAACATCTGCAGATATCTGAGAATATGATATATAATTTCAAGCGAAATTGTGAGCGGAGGTTCAAAGTGAAATAAAGTAACGTGGAAGCGCGTGGTTAAAAAGTAAGTAATTAAACCCCCCCACGCGACTCGCCCGCGGGCTGCTTTCATCTCCTCCGGTCGAAATTCATTGGCGGCCGTCGAGGGAGAAGTTTGTTCGGTTTTTAAAGTCGCGCGACGACGACGCGACAGTTTTTCCCCTGCGCTCGGGGAGAGCATTCGAAGAAGGCGAGAGAACATCAAAGAACGTTAGAACAACCGGTCGGTATTCGCCTCGGAAACCGCCGTTGGAATTTTTCAACTTTTCTCATCGGACCGTCGAACCTGTCGTGCGACTGAGGAAACTTCTTTCCACCGGGTAAGAAAAAAGGTAAGGAAGGAGAGAGAAAGAGATGATCATGAGAAAAAAGAAAGACGGGGAATAAAAAGGAAGAAAGTCGAGCGAGCGCGTTACCCGCGCGAGCTGATCTTTCCAGGCGTGAATCGTGGTCGGGTTCGAACTTTTAATTACCTGGTGCTTAAGTAACGGTCTACGCAGGCCTGAGAAGAAAGGAGGAGGAGGGAAAAAAAGCGAACGAAATGGCCTGCGGAACGTGCCGCGAGAGGCTCGCCGTTTGCGGAACAGACTTAAGCAACCACTCGAAACTGCTTCCCTAACAAGAACGGAAATCTTTCAAGCATCCTTTCCAACGACGGCGGGGGCCCCGATGGCAATTCGAACTTCGGGCAACGCTCGTTTTTTCAATTAATTAAACCCGGCGCGGCGCATTGCAAGCGCCAACGATTCTACTCATATAAACTCTACGCCCGGGGGGGAAATGATTCTATAATTGGAATCCCGTTTCGAATCGGTATTGAAAATGCCGTTGATCACCGAAGTTATTGGAAATTTTTCAATACGGGGTTCCATCGCGTTTCAAATTAATTTTATTCTCCGTCTGTTCTGGCTAATAAATATTAGAGTTAATTAAATACTTTATTCATTCCTGTCTTGACCGATGGTTAGTACACTGATTTACAGAAAAGAAGATAATCAAGAATAAAATGCATATTATTATTTTTTTAGAAGAAATTGAAATTCTAAACCGACGACGTTGCAAGTGTTACAGTTTGCACAATCGTCCGTTTTGGAAACGGTAAACTTAGTACACGTTAATTAAATGAAAAATAGAAGCAGGATACAGTCTGAATGAGAGAATCCGGTTCAGAAATTACATGAAATTTTGAAAGCCCGTTTCATTTCAGCGAGATACAGGGAACAATTTGAAACCGGACGCAACATTTTATCTGGTTTTGCTAGTACAACGCGCAACTCTCGTGAGTAATGGAACGGCTATTTATTCCTGGACAAATTCAATAAGAGTCGACGATCAATCATGTAGTAATGCTCATCGTGGAATCATTTGTATCGTTTCATCATTAAAGATGATCTGTTACGAAGAACGTAATACGCTTTACGATGCAAGATTAATCACACCTAAAAGCCAGCTACCCAATGTATTCAGCTCTATTGCCCTTCGTGAGAATTATTTAATCTGAGAATCATCGCGCAGATCAAAATTGAAACTAATTACTTTTCCAAAGAGAACCATAAAAATTACTTGATACTTCCCTGGATAAAATTCAAGTCGAAATAAAAAATAAAATTGTTTTCCGCTTGCCAAACTGAATAATCAATGCCAATTCTTCAGGAATCAAAGCAATGAATATAAAACACGCAATCAAAAATAGTATCCGTAGCGAGCTAATATAAAGTGACAGTGTATTGTGTTAAATGGTTGATAAACAAGCGAGTGAAAAATTCGCGGCTGATTTTTCGTCGCGTATTTCCCAACGGGCGAGTCCCGGTATATTTAATTGAAAAACGTGTAATTCGTAATTTCCCACGGGAGCGGACGCGACGCTCTCTTGATCGTTAAGCTTCGCGACGAGAAATCCATGGGACGATTTCGGGCTGGAATCTACCCCTGATCACCTCTTCGTTTTTCTTCTACCTAAATTCGCCGATTCGTATCGACCCCGAGCTTAAATAAATTAACGCGAGCCCCCAATCGTCGTTCCTTTCGTTTGCCCGTGCTTATTCCTGTTAAAACGTCGATCGCGGAGTTTACTTAGGATCGTTCGATTTAAATCTTCGACTTTTACGAAAGCATTAATTAAGCGACTTAAACGAACGAGGATTATGATACAGCTACGAGCCTCGAGTCTTTCTACTTATATTATCGAATACACAATTCCACGATTTTTTGTTTCATCGAATTTAATATTTTTGAAGAATCGCGAGGTGAATAAAGTTTCACGTTTATTCTACAAAAATTACGATATGTACCTCATTACTGATACATGTAATGATTTAAAAAAAAGGAAGTGGGTGCACGGAAAGCTTTAAACATTGTTGTTGTTTTCCAACGAGAGGTATGGCAAACAACATGATGGAAATGAACGGAGGCTTTCGTCCCGGCGATTCCGTAAAATGCCAAGAGAGGTTTAAACGCGACCCAGTTTTCAAAAAGCTCTTTTTATTACCAAGAATGCATTCGACATTTTTTTTTCCACGTATAATCTACGATGATAGAAGCGTTCATTAACATCGCGGAACAGGAATCAGTGTGCATCAACTTATTCGCGGTTAGAACGCAAATAAAAAAGCCTGGGAAAATTTCGCAGGCGCAGCGTCCAACAAAAAATTTCTATAATTAATTCCTCAAAAGCGAACTGTAGCGTCCACTAGAAAAAAACATTGGCCGTTTCATTTATTTTTCATTCTCTTTGGGGAGCCCGACCGTAGTTTCTAAACTCGCCAGTTTTCGGTCACCGGATCGGACACGAATCGGGATTAACATGCTGGTTGGAATGAAATTTTCCGCGTCGGTAGGAAACTTCCGCGCGTTATCAATTATTCCTCCGCGTTATCGGTTGCGGCGAGACATGCCGGGGCAAACGGCACGGCTTTGATCCCGGATATAAAAGACGCGAGCGATTTGCGGGCAGAAAATGTGTTCCGCGGCCTCGCGAAATGCGCAAGGGAATATCGAGTCGTACATTCAATCCGACACAGTGAATCATCCGGACAGAGATGATAGTTCACCGACCGCGAACAACAATTTATTTATCTGACCGAAACGGTTTTTCGTGGAATCATCAGCGAGGACGCGATTATTCAATTATTGGTAACTACGAAAGAGAATTATGGAACTCCGCCGTGCAAAATCGATTGATTGATTGATTGATTGATTAGACAACAACTAGTATGACGCGAGTTCCTGACAATTTTTAAATCGCGCGTACGGTACTGTTTCAGGACTTATTAATTAGTAGAGATTAGCTCGATCTTGTTACAGTCATTAATCACGAAGTAATTCAACGGCCGTCACAATTTTGCGAACGATTAAGTTTCCGAAGGGATTACCAAAACTCATTAATTACTCGAGTATTAATTTATTAGAAACAACAAACTTTCATTAGGACCTGTGCTTATAAATAATTAGCGTACTTCGGTAATTAATTGGGTAATTACAAAATATGAAATATAAATGTTTTTCGAAGTACAAAGTAATGCAACAGGAAATTAATTACTTTCTTATTTCCTACCTCTAACTATAAGCAAGCCAGCAATGACACCAACACGTTTACATTTTAGCAAATATTTCAATGATTAAAATAATTACTGACGTGAATTTATACATTTAAAATAGCCATGTATATACTTTGTATATCCTCAGGCACAATTTATTAATCCATTGATCCTCGCGTTGTATGTTTAATTAAAACGCACAAAGCTAATAACTTGTGTCTCAATCCGAAGAATAATCAGTGTACAGGGGAAATCCCGCCCTCATTGGACAGGAAATAACAAAATAATCTATTGATAATGCAAATAGAAATATCACTCGTTAACGATATTCCTCGTATATTTTTTCCTGGCACGCGGTCTGTACAAAGGGAAACACGTACAAGCATTGCGTTTATTAAATTAATGATTCAATCGAATAAATGCCCCTTCGCATGCATATTGTGAAAATCTGAATTAAAATATGTAACTATCTATTAATTCTTGTCAAATTCGAATGACCGGATGAATAATTTCTTTATACATATGCTAGGCTCCAAGTGAATTTAATGCAACTTATGAAATTAGGTTAGGTCATGTAAAAAGTAGTGCATATTGTACTTACGTGCTATTCATGTAAATCTTATTATAATTAGATATCAGGACATCTGTTAAAACGTAGATACATCATAGATAAAGATAATACAAAGAGAAACGCTTCAAAGAGGAAAAGTTCACCGCCAATTAGCTTAACGTGCAAATGTTATTAATAACATACCTGTTCCCAAGGCGACTCGTCCAAATCCAGATGAGCACACATGGCCAGGAACTGCATCGTTTTCAATTACTATCCATCACGGTATGACACGAAGCGAATTGCGGTAACACAATTCGAACACTGAACCTCCGCATATAGAATAACACATGAGCGTAGCGCGAGTTGCTTCGGCAGAGAGACACGAAGACCCGTTCGTACGCGACAGCGACCGGAGGCGAACTGCCCTTCGTAACATGCGGGTTGCGCGCCACCAACTAAAGCGTGCCGGCGATTCTACCCGAGGCGCGGTAGAGGGGGAAACGAGAGGTTGGTCCTTGTAACGAGTTTTCTTCGGGGTAAACGCGTGTGAAATCGTACCGTCTCATGTTTTTACTGATCCTCACCCTCCACGGCCGATTAAATCCCATTTGGAGATACGATTTAATTAATTAGATCCGATACGCGTAATAGAACTAGTGTCCGAACTTCCGAACGCGCAGTGTAATGAAACGTTGGTCGCACAGCTGAATTGTTAACCTAACACTGAGAAGGTAAGAAAAAATTTATATACGTAAGCCAGCGAGCGTTGTATTTATATTCTCGTGTACCAACTCAGGCTGTTCTCCCTCCTGGCACTGAAAAATATCATAACAATGCTGTTACTAATTGTAAGCGTATTCTGAAACTAAAAATATACTTCAGAGACAAGGTAAATACTCCTCTTTATTATGCATTGCTTTACAAATTTTATCTTAATGAAATTCACTTGGTGCGATTTATATAGATAATAGTCTCAACATATCAATTTATAAAATAATTTATATATGTTTGAACATCATAGTGGACACTATTAAATGGCGGATCGAGATTCCACATGTAATTGCAATATTGAAAATATTTCAGTGGAAATATTCTTCATACTTTTACGTTGCCCGTACTGGGTAACTCCCGGTATTCCTTGAAAGTATTTAATTATCTGACATTCGCATCAAACAGGCTGAACTCGTGATATGATGGCAGACAGCTTGAGCTCGTACTTGGTCATTGACCCGCGGCTTTTTCATTTACATGTACCTGCCATTTATTTGCCGTACAGGATGTATAAGCTAAAATATCGGCAAATTTCAGCTATCATGAGTTTTCAATATAAATCCTACTCCTTTCTGATTTACTGTTCGTCTGCTAAATAAAAAGTGTAAAATATTTGTAAATCTGGACCAGATTCTGTGACTGATTAATATGTATATTCGCGATTGTATCATAGCTTTAGTATCACTTTTTAGTATTTGAAGCTGATTGGATATGCTGAATAAAATTCAGCATGCAAAAGAGAATGATATGTAAAATATCAGAAAATTAGTTACTCTGGAAACTAATATACATTCGCGACTGTATCAAAGCCGTAATAGTTTCTCATGAATTGCGTTACTCCACGCTGAGTTCTACTCTATAGAGACGTTCGATATATACATATACTTTGGCAAGAAAGGGAATAATGACAACATTTACACGGGACTCCTACCTACGAGTTTCGAGCGAACTCGCTGTGCATTCTGGCCGTACGAATGCAATCTGCTGCTGCACCAATTCGCAATACGTACACACGGCAAAGCGCTTGTATATAATTGTGTTATAATAGCTATCGCAGGTGTCGGCTCGTTAAATTGTTAATACATTGCTTCGCGAGTCTCGCGGTAATTTCACCGATTAATGTCGTACAATTGCCCTGTTTTAATTCCTCCCAGCGATTCATTGGAACAACGTCCAAAGACTTGTGAGAGTAAATATTAGAAATGTATGAATTATCAATTGCAATCGACATTCGTTATTTTAGCTGACGAAAGATTCTTCGAAGTAGTAATCCTCTTTTCTGATATATGTATATAAGAATTTTTAATTTACTTAACCACTTGTTATGGAGCGAAATGAGAAATATTTCACAATGTGTTAGGAAGGGTGGTTTGAGGCGCGGTCAATATTATCACAGCGAGGCTCCGGCAGACGCGAACGTCTAATGATAATTAATTACCGGATAGTGCTGAGAATAATTAATCGTTGGGAAATAATTAATCGTGCTGGATGATAAAATGAACATGATTGGGCCGTAATTTATAATCGAAGTGCCCGAGAAAATCCTCAATAAACCCCCGTGAAAAAATTTGCTTCCTCATGAAGCGATGAAACACGCTTAAAAATTAATAAAACTTTTTGCTTAATTACAATTCATTACATATTATATCCTATAGATTTTATATCATGGAATTTGTTGCGGAATATGTATGTACGTATTTATTCCACATTCTTCCTAACGCTTCCTACCCCACGACGTAAGACCGCGACAGCATAAAACATTCGTCGCAGGGTGGTGCCTCGCATACATACACTTTCCGCACTTCTGATAACCCGTTCAATATTCCAAACGTAACTGCCGAAATTCAAGAAACGATCCACGTAGCGGAAAAATGACGGTCGCGGAGCGAAACTAACACCAGCTACACAGAAATACGTACTCCTACTCGGCAGACGTTGAAACCCCCTCCGCAAGACCGATCGATCAGCCCTTAGGAACGGGTTCGAGTCGCTATTCCAAAAAATCAAATTTCAATTGCACAAATTAACCCGTTATTAAATTCTCAAATTACATGCTTATTAGCTATGGAAATCAATAATGTACTTAAATATAGTCACTTTAGAGATTCACGTTATGTAATTATTATAATAATTAATAATTAACAAGCTACGTTTCATAATTGCTCGACGATTTTTAAACATAGATAGAAATACGCAATTGATATCAGATCCCGAAATCACATTTTAAATTTGCTTGTTGCCCACTGAAAACGGATAGAGGTAACATAATTTCCTATTGGGTCATAGAATTGATATTTGAATCGAGCTAAAAATGAAACACGGGTAGGGATGGCTGATTATCCGCACACGAGTGGCGGTAGATGAACCGACCCTTTACAATTTGTCTGCCAGTTTGATTTGGCTTGATTCGGTTTGATTTTGGTTCACCCTAATTCGACGCAGTTACCGGCGCGGCCCAGCCGGCATTAACGATTTGCGGTCGCCTACAATTTACCTCCGCGGTTCCTGTCTTTCAAATTTTCCCTGCGGTTTCACGAACGATTTCATTTCGTTAACGCTGTGAATCCAAAAGAAAACATTACATTCGAACAGACTGCAATGGTACGGACCTCAAATCTCGATGAATAATTTTAAAAGATAAATGTTATGCAAATCCGGTTCTAAACCACAGTCGGGTTCCCTAGAAAGGGACAGTGATATTCGCGCGACACTGGTTGGTATAAACGGAATAAATTCCATTCGCGAAAACCCTGGTGACCAATGCATCGTTTCAATACTAACGGTTAGAGTTAAATGGCTTGAAAATTACGTACGGTGCTAACGTCAAGAAATTGCTTCGTTCAAGAGGAATTTGATAGATTTATGCTATTGAGTGGAATCGATGTTGCGCCGGGAATAATACTGGAGCCTACACAAATTATATCTGTTCAATCGTCTGTATTATGTATCCAAATGGCTATCGAATTCCTTTAGCATAACTAAGTTTCAGAGAGTAAATATTCTTAAAAGTAAATCTACTATAGTAGACAAGATATATGAGTACAGGTTTCACATACGTTCGGCTGCCCATGAAAAATTAAGAATGATTCAACTGCTCTTTCTGAAACTGTACTGAAGTAATATTGGGGAACAAGATGGATGTTGCGTTTTCTGTTTCCCTAGGAACGAACCGAGTTTCGTTTTGACTTCTATTCCAGCAATATTGAAGAAGCTGTTTTTCTCAATTCGTCGTAAAATTTTTATTAAATTCTCAAATTACATGCTTATTAGCTATGGAAATCAATAATGTACTTAAATATAGTCACTTTAGAGATTCACGTTATGTAATTATTATAATAATTAATAATTAACAAGCTACGTTTCATAATTGCTCGACGATTTTTAAACATAAATAGAAATACGCAATTGATATCAGATCCCGAAATCACATTTTAAATTTGCTTGTTGCCCACTGAAAACGGATAGAGGTAACATAATTTCCTATTGGGTCATAGAATTGATATTTGAATCGAGCTAAAAATGAAACACGGGTAGGGATGGCTGATTATCCGCACACGAGTGGCGGTAGATGAACCGACCCTTTACAATTTGTCTGCCAGTTTGATTTGGCTTGATTCGGTTTGATTTTGGTTCACCCTAATTCGACGCAGTTACCGGCGCGGCCCAGCCGGCATTAACGATTTGCGGTCGCCTACAATTTACCTCCGCGGTTCCTGTCTTTCAAATTTTCCCTGCGGTTTCACGAACGATTTCATTTCGTTAACGCTGTGAATCCAAAAGAAAACATTACATTCGAACAGACTGCAATGGTACGGACCTCAAATCTCGATGAATAATTTTAAAAGATAAATGTTATGCAAATCCGGTTCTAAACCACAGTCGGGTTCCCTAGAAAGGGACAGTGATATTCGCGCGACACTGGTTGGTATAAACGGAATAAATTCCATTCGCGAAAACCCTGGTGACCAATGCATCGTTTCAATACTAACGGTTAGAGTTAAATGGCTTGAAAATTACGTACGGTGCTAACGTCAAGAAATTGCTTCGTTCAAGAGGAATTTGATAGATTTATGCTATTGAGTGGAATCGATGTTGCGCCGGGAATAATACTGGAGCCTACACAAATTATATCTGTTCAATCGTCTGTATTATGTATCCAAATGGCTATCGAATTCCTTTAGCATAACTAAGTTTCAGAGAGTAAATATTCTTAAAAGTAAATCTACTATAGTAGACAAGATATATGAGTACAGGTTTCACATACGTTCGGCTGCCCATGAAAAATTAAGAATGATTCAACTGCTCTTTCTGAAACTGTACTGAAGTAATATTGGGGAACAAGATGGATGTTGCGTTTTCTGTTTCCCTAGGAACGAACCGAGTTTCGTTTTGACTTCTATTCCAGCAATATTGAAGAAGCTGTTTTTCTCAATTCGTCGTAAAATTTATTAGCACATACATTAAATTATTATAAGAAAGGGAGTAATTAGATCATTTGGTCAAGGCTTTTTTCAAGAATAATTAGAATATGTATTGTGCATTTTCTATTGTAATGAGCTCTAAGATTGCTTTCTATAATTTGTTGAGAACATGACATGAAAATTGTAATGCAACTTCAGAGCTTCAGAAAACAAGAAGCAGGCAAATACACTGGTTGATAG